CTGCGGGGAACTCTGCAAAAAACGCATCTTCGCACGGGCAGCCCGTGCGTTGGCCATTTATTCAAAACGGTGAAGAGGAAGGAAAGGGGAAGCATTTGCTGTTTGTGTCCGTGCAATTTGTTTCGTACGCTGGTGAAAAGCTTAACTCAAAATGTCGAATCAATTTGTGAAACTTTATTGGACAAACCTTTAACTTTCTTAATATGTGTTGCACTGGCCAACCTTGAGAAGCTGTTAACTCAATTTTCCCAGACGGCCCAAACACTAGGAACCTATATCAGCACGAAGAATGTGGTCTCCGGCCTCTGAGAAATTAACCCGGAAAACTTCTTGGGCTGTGGATTTTCATCCAAAAAATATCCAACCTCAACAACTTTACGGACCACCTTTGACAGTCATAGATCCTCCTCTGTGCACAGATAATATGAACACCCTTCGACGATTTATGCTGGTACGAATTGTCATGATTTGTAAAAAAATAGAAAATACTAAATTTCGTCGCAAGTCGCTTGTAAGCTTTGGGATTTAATTGGATCGCAAGGCTGCTACCTAAGCCACGTGAACAATCCGGATGTTGGCTTAACATCCTGAATTACACTCCCTTCCTTACGTCGTGGATTTTTCAAATCTTGTTGTAGACGCTGTAGTTGGGCACCTGTTTCGGTCCATTTCGCGCTTGTCAGCCACAGCTGCTCAAGGACATCTGCATCGTCGGATTGCTGATGCCATGGCATTCGAGTCCTTATTGAGCTGCAATTTTTTTATAGTTATGGTCTTCTGTGATTGGAATATGCCGTGCCCTTAGCACAGCTAGTAAGGGTAGATAGTGCATCAGGAAAGTAATAGTTATTTTCCAATACGTGACTGCGATCGCGTATTGGAGGATAACTATTACTGCAGCGGATATGTTATACTTGCTGAGAGCTCCACACGAAGGCAGTGCGATCATTCCTAATTCAAGCTTAGCGAAGGCAGTTGTTTGTCGGATTTTTCGCTATATTTCGTTGCTGCTAGTCATACTGCGAAAGACAAGTAAAGTCACTACAGTCGCTCGAAAAATAAGCGTGCTGCACTGGATATTTGTTGAAGTACGACCATTCGCCAAGTACAGCTTACGGAGCTCATCTGTCCCTGGTTAGTGGGTGCCCAAGTGCTCTCCGTGAGGCCTTTTTCGCGCACCAACAGCTTTCTGTTTGTCGGTCGCTGAAACTGAAATCAAAAACTGACACATCACATAGCAGCACAATTAACTCCCCGAACTTCGAGGACGAGTATGTATAAATTCTAGCTACTGGTCAAGTGATCTTATTACAGCAAGAAATAATGTAAAAACGCACGACCGCAATGGTCCGCTTGATGCGCGTCGCCAATGATTTCTGCTTTTATCCATAGGCTCAGATTTTTTTGGGTTTACTTTTTTCAAGGCACTGAAACTCGAGCCATGCTTTAATTTGCTTTTCTTTAAATAGTGCTCTGTTGTCTCTTTCTCTTTACTGCTATTTGCAATTCCTGCCCCGAGCTCTTGACTTGTATCCTCGTCCCCCTTTTTTATCCTGTCCCCAAATCCTATCTGCAAGGCAAAATCTATCCTTATGTGCTATTCACGAGGATTATCACTAGCCGACTAACAAAATTTCTCGATTAACTGCAGAAGAGGGAGCAAGCTGGATTCCAAAATGATTACAAAACGACGGGTCACATATTCGCTTTGAATCAACCGCTAGAACGTGCAAGAGAGTACCAACTCCCTCTCTGTCTCCTATTCGTTGATTACGTTGTGCTGTGAGTTCTTGTGAATGAAGGGATTGATGAGAATCACGTGGAAATCGTTCAGGAAAGAAAGATGCTCGACAGACGTAACACTTCACTCTAATCCGTATACTGATCGAGAAGAGAGTGAGCAGTGTGACCCCATACCGTCCATGCTGTCGACGGCTTCTCTTAAGACGGCATTTCGGAAATTAGATTGGGAAGTCTGAAGATCAAAGGTGAACAGCTAAATTGAGCTTTGCGGAACTCTCGCAAAATAGACGAGATGTTTCAGAGCTCAACGTACGAAGGAAGTGGCTTAAAAACTAAGGCATCAAGCGAAGATGACACAAAGTCCTGGTATACCCACGGCAAGGCTGCATATAGACGGTGCGGCCTTAAAAGAAGTCAACAGCTAAGTCTCTCTTGGACAGGAAGAAAATATGCACCCCAATCACCAACCGGATACTGCATGTTGAAGGGCTGCCAGTTACCGCAAATTCCACAGCATCGCCGATGTTCTCAAATTGTCGAACCCGGAAGACTATGCCCACCTCATCAGTATCACTGTACTGAAGGCAGTGACGTATGGATGTGAAATGTAGTCACTCACGAAAGCCGAGGAGCGAGTGCTGGCAGCGACGCAGACAGCGATGGAGCAAAGGTTGCTTGGCGTGTCTTTTTCCGATCGTATAAACAATCAGACTCTCTGTTAGATTAGAGTGTTCAGGATATCATTACGACCACGCAGGTCATGTTGCTCGTCTTGCCGACAACTGGTGGCCAGTGTGCATTAGCGAGTAGTAGCAATTTGAAAATAAGCGACCACTCGGGTGTTCTCCAAAGAGGTAATGCACATACATCGAACTAACTGGAAGCATGAAGCTCGAGACCGAAAGGCCTGGCACAGATGCACTTGGCGTGTGAGAGAATGCTAGTAACAATACTAACAAGAGATACGCACACTGATGATCTGAGCGACCTTAGTATTGCCGATAAGAGCACTATACTTAGTAATACTAATCCAGTCTAATTCGGCACTCTTGTAGTCTCAACCGTCCAGAGTTGATTGTGCAATGGGACTACTCGTTATATTGAGCCACTGTGTCTTGCGCAGTGCAGTCCAGCCAGTAATATTCAGTTCTACTAATCTAATGGTACAACAAAACGATATTTCGAAGACCGAACAGTTCAGTATAAACTTACTCAATAAAAGTACCATTCGCATTTTCCATTTTTTCGTCAGCAAGTGCGAAAAGCACCGGTCGAGTTGCATCGCTAGTTGATTGGGCTGCGACCAGTCCATACACCCATCTATAGTACAAAAAAAAATTATGCGTTCGCCCACTTCACTGACAAGGTGCGAAACTTTAGGTTTTCACTGTTGCTGTACTGAACAAAGTCTCAGAAAATACACCTTCACCGTAAAATTACATACAAGTTTGAAAAGTCGCTGTGGATGATTGTGCAGCATCTTTGGCGTGTGAAGGAAAATTGCCATGAGCTGCACAATTTTCCTCTAAACTTCGGAATTAAAATTTGGCCTCCCTCCTTTACCAACAAAACTGTCATCGCAGTAGCAAACTTTTCCAAGGGGGGCGGAAAGGGAATCGTAGCAGTATTAACGAACAGCTTATCGAGAGTTACCTAAGTTCCACATACGTAATTTGATTGATGAGAACCTTTTTAAGTTTTTGCACCAGCGAACTACAACGAATCGACCATCAGCACCTTCCAACCGATAAAAGAGGTTAGTTTTTGTGAGACCAGGGTCAACCATTATGACTTGTATATTCGTCCCTGAAAAGTACTGTAATATTCAATTCCGCAAGAATTCTACGAGGCCACTTGGATATGAGGAATAATGGATTCATGCTGTGTGCCTTCAATTTTATTTGAATGCTTTCGTTCCAAAAATCGCACTCCTTTTTTTGTTTCCCGTTTGAAGGCAAGGCAACGTCTTATTCCACACTGACTTTAAACTTTCATTCGAACGTACAGTATAATGC